ACAGGACCCGTCGCGTGGCAAAGCAATGCTGACAGGGAACGGGCCACATGGGCGATCCGCGTGCGCGCGATCGGACGGGCCCAGATCCGTTCCCGCATGCACGGACGGCCCAGATTCACGCGCACGGACGACCCAAATTGCATCGCGATGAACGGCCCAGATTTAATCCCAATTAAATCGCGATCGAACGGTCCAGATTTAATCTTCATGGACGGTTGAGATTAAAGGGCAAAGGGTATAAATAACCCCACCCACACCTGACCACAAAAACCCTAGCCGCCAGTGCCTCGCAGGAGAAGAAGAACCAGACGCCGGAGGAGCCAACCGCCGCCGCACCGGGGAAGTTTTTGACCGCCAATCGAGGTAAATTTTCTCTCCCTCGCTCGTTTTTCGATGCTGAGTCCGCCTATGGCCAAACCGGAGCCAAACTACCAGCCAAACGGCCGAAAAACCCAGCCGAAGCCCAGCGGTGCGGCCGCGCCCCTCATCGATTTTTACCTCCGATGAGACCCTTCCTGGCCTCCGTTCGATGCAAATTTTATACCACTGTGATCGCCGTTCTTTTCTCTACAGGTTGATCAGAGCCAAACATCAAAACGCGACTCACATCGGAGGAGCCGCCGCACCCGAGAGCACTGCCGTCGGTAAGTTTTGATTTTTCGTGATTTTTTGGCCCAGCGAGGGCCCTAGGGTTGTTTTATCGCAGGGACCGATGCAAGTGTGGCCGATAAAAGGGGGCTTAAGTCTGATTTGAGATTTTTTTTGGGACACGTGCAGGTACCAGTAGTGCGTTTCAGTTTTTCGGAAAAAATTCAGGAAAATTAAGGACAGCATGTAGGCACACTGTAGAGTTGACTTCAGACCCCGAAACAAGTAAGGACCCCTCACCCTATTTTCTATCACGGTATTAAAGCTAAATAAATAATTAAACTGTATTTTGTGACTTTATAGATGTATAATTGATTAAGGTTGCCAATGGAGCCCGAGTCTGATACCGTATTGGTCTGTTATTGTTTGATTTAATTTCCAGTATTAAATGCAGCGTGATGTTTGATGTAATTATGTTATGGTCTCGTATGCATGAACTATGGTTTCTTTTATTATGGTTTGTATTATGGTGAACCTGGTACTGTATTGTCTTATTTGGTGTCAATTATTGGTTTACATGTTTTGTATGATTGGATGACTGGGATTAAAGAAAAATGTAAAAAGGTTATGTGAATTGATAAGTGGATAAAGTAGACAGCCTGACTAGATATCTTGGGAGATGGTGGGCGGACCGGGTCCGTAGGGAACCCTACCGGGAACGTGGTCTTTCATACCGGACGGACTATGGAGACCTTATGTGTTTTGGCGCCCATACCGGACGGGGTATGGGGACGGTCCGTTTTACCCTCATACTGGACGGGGTATTGAGGTTCATAGTTTAAGCACTCATACCGGACGGGGTATGGGGACGGCTCTGGAATCAGGTTGAAATGTTAAGGGTTCACGGGTAGCGGAGACCCCATATGGATCCCTATGGATACTAGTAGGCTGGTAAATGAAGAAAATATGTTGTTTAATGATTGAAATACAAAGGTGTCGGCGGCGCCGTCGCCGGAGCACGGCGGAGTCACCGTGCTGGAATTCCGATATTAGCCGAAAGGGGGCCTAGGTCTGATTTGAGATTTTTTTTGGGACACATGCAGGTACCGGTAGTGCGTTTCAGTTTTTCGGGAAAAATTCAGGGAAATTAGGGACAGCCTGTAGACACACTGTAGAGTCGAATTCAGACTCCGAAACAAGTAGAGACCCCTTACCC